AAAAGGGAAAAAAAAAAAAAAAAGTATGCTAAGTACAAAAAGCCATAGGACAAAAGGCTACATGCCATCTAATCTCACTTATATGATACATCCAGAAAAGGCAAATTTTAATGTCAGGAAGCTGCTCAGTGATGGGGTGGGGGTGGGGACAACTACAAACAGGCCCAAGGAAACTTTCTGGGGTGATGGAAAAGTCCAAAGGTGGTTATGGCTGCACCAGTCAGTAAATTTACTCAAACCGATCAAACGGCATTTACAACAGATGGTCGTATGATGTTGTGGCGCAGTGCGCTAACGGTATGGCTCTTCTAGCCATACCTTTTTGACTCCCAAAAAAACACTGGGCAGAACTATGCAAATATGAGGTGCCACTCTAAACAACTGTGCGTGGCACCACAGTGCAAGTGAGACCGTGCGATGAGGTGTATGGAACCCTAACGTGGGCATTGGTTAGTTCTGTCATTCCGCTACACTTAAGGGGAGCCCTCCTAGAGGCAGGAGATATCACTGCCATCAAGAGAGAAGAGCTGGAGATGCAGTGGGGCGTGTCCTTGGACCCAAGACCCCTGCATTAGACTTCCCTGGCAGAGAGACAGCAGACACGACTGGCAGAGACAGTGGCAGCCAAATCGGGAGGCCGGCATGAGACAGAGCAGTGGGCCTCCTGGCCCACAGAGCAAGAAAGCCGAGTGTCTTTGGGCAGAAGGCTCACTGCCGGAGTAGGAGGCACCTGGGTGAACCTATGTGCAGAACTGAAAGAGCTTTCTAACACCTGTCAGAGAAAGGCAGAGGCCAAGGGACAAAGGGAAGCATGCCTGAGGGCATGGCAGAGGGGAGCCCAGCCTGATCTAAGAACTGTATCCTGAGCATTGCTGAAACTGAATTGTAACCTGCTGCTTCCCCAACAAACTTCATAATCACGAGTACTGCCTGTGAGTTCTGTGTGGCCACCACAAGCTATTGAACGCAGCACAGCAGCAAGTGCCATGGAGGACAGATGGTGCATGAACTGGTAAAAAGGCGGGAGGATGGCAGCATGTCTGACCTCACAGGAGGAAGCCTTGGGCTGCAGATGGTGATTCTGTCTCCCCCTCGTGAAGTGAGAAGAGGTCGGAAGATGCCGCTCCCATGCCCTTTTTGCAAGTAGGTAAATTATATCTCAACAGAGCTGTTAAAAGTGAAAGAAAGAAATGCAATGAAAACAAAGCAAATGTCCTTAAATTCGAGCTAGGTACAACTATCCATGTGCTGACAACTCCAGCAGGGGAAAGAAACTGGCAAGTGTCAGAGGTGTTAGAAACACGAAGCACTCCCAGCGACTGTCTTTGACATGATGCAAAAAGGGCAGAGTTGTGAGAAGGAAAGACCTTCCCATACTGATTTTTATGGTTCCCTGAAATCATCTCAGACACTCCATAGTCCCCAGTTCACCCTTGGGGATACACTGTACACTGACTGCTAAAGTCCCTTCAGAGCTGTGGGGCACAGTGGTTAAAGCGCTCAGCTGCCAACCAAAAGGTCAGCCATTCCAACCCATCAGCTGTTCCACAGGAGAAAGATGGGGCAGTCAGCTTCCATAAACACAGCCTTGGAAACCTCTGGGGCAGTTCTACTCTGTCCTCTAGGGGCGCTGTGAGTCGGGAAACAACTCAACAGCAGTGGGTTTGGTTTGGGCTTTGCTTTTGAAAAAATTACAGCTTTGGAGACCCTATAGGACAGCTCTACTCTGTCCCATAGGGTTGCTACGAGTCGGAATCAACTCTCTGGCAATTGGTTTGGATTTGGGGTTTTGAAAATCCCTTCTGTCTCTCACTGCCCCTCCCTGGCCTTACGGCATTCTTCTGGGGAATCTGGGGAGACAAGCCTTTGGGCAAGGCTAGGGACCAGGTGAGATGAACCATGACCGGCACAAGAGTCTGCAAGGTGGCCCGAAAGATGAGGAAGCAGATGGGGAAACAATAGTCACTGAAAGGACAGTCTTTGGACTGGACAGGACCAGACGAGAACTGCTATCGCTGACAGTATCACCAAAGGGGCCAATGGGTTCTGCAACTGGTGCCAGTTCTAATCGGTAACTAGTGTTGACCAGGTTCCGAAACTAAGTCCAAGCTTGACAGGAAAGAGCATCAGGATCGATTAACCATGTCCGCCATGGCCAGATCCCAAAGCAGTGCTGTAGATGCCATGTATTTATTGCTCTGTCCAAGCTCCCAGGTGACGGGAAACGCCACACTAAGCCTTTTACCTTTTTGGTATGTCTGACTTGCCATTGTTAACTGCTATCAGGAGCTGGAGCTGGTCGCCTACTTTCCCTCTAAGCAATGACGGCCGCTAACATTTGGAGGGCGCTCAGGACATGCCAAGCACTGTTCTGTGCCGGATCAGCCCATTTTGCAGATGAGGGCGCTGTCGCCCAAGGTGACTCAGCTGAAGCCAGACTGGATGAACACTGCAGACAGAACATGCTTCATGAGGTCTGGAGATTCAGCCCCCAGAACCTCCCGGGATTCCCCTGGCCTCCAGCCCCACACCAGGCCAGCTGCCTGTCACTGGGCCCAGCACAAAAGCTGGCGTGGATGCCTCCTGTCTGGTAGGAAACTGGCTTTGACCCAGCTCTGACTCATTTTCTTCCTACTGCCCAGGTGCTAGCCCCACATCTCTGAACTCCCCTTCATTCACCTTCCAAACCCTGGGCAGGGCAGTACTCAAACTTGAGTGTGCATTACTTTCACCTGGGATGCAGGCCTGAGCAAAGGAGCCTGGGTAGTGCAAGTAATTTGTGATCAGCTGCTAACCCAAAGGTTGAGAGTTTGAACCCACCAGCAGCTCTGGGGGCAGGGTGGGGTGGGGTGGTGGGAGGCCCGGCACTCTGCTTCCGTGAAGATTTAAGATTTAAAACACAAGCCCGTTTATGTTGAGTCAGTTCCAACTCATCGCAATCCTACAGGACAGAGTAGAACTACCCCACAAGGTTTCCAAGGCTGTAAATCTTTATGGAAGCAGAAGGCCAAACCTTTCTCTCATGGAGCAGCTGGTGGGTTCAAACCGCTGACCTCTGGGTTAGTGGCTGAGCAGCTCTACTCTGCACCCATGGAGGTACCATGAATCATGGCCCACTTGACCAAACAGGCCCAGTGGGCCGAGGCAGGGTCTGAGAAACACCTGTTTAACACATTTCCCCACCAGACGGGAACAGGTGGTCCTGGACCCTGATATCAGACACTCACAGCAACCTGGAGCCGGCTTATGCCAACTCTAAGGCCCAGGAACCCTGATATCAGATCACACCACTCAGAAGCCAGGATCTCAGGCACCCAATCCAGAAGTCCCTACTACGTCCAAGTCCTCCCTCCTCTTCACTCCTTTCCACCAATTCAACCAAGAGGCAGGAACGCCAGCTGAAGGCTCACAGGCCACACGAGTGGAGAGAAGCAGCTGAACAAGGCTCACCCACCCAAGGTTCGCCTGGAGCCTGACAGGCCGACACCTGGTCCCAGGGGAGCTGCTACCCAGCTAAGACCTCAGGAAAGACACCTCCTCCTAGGTGACCTCAGGTCCCTCGGCCATAATACAGACCAGAGCATGCACAAAAGGCCCTCCAACCACAGCTCTGTTCTCCAGCTTGGCCGAAGGTCCCCTCCTCCCTGCGAGGACCCCTCGTTGCATCAATCACACTCCCCTCCGTGGGTCCAGCCCCACTGGCCTCCGGGCCAACACCCCCCACCCCCAGGAGGTCGCAGGCGAGTCCGGCCTCCGGCCAGCGGGGATGGAGCGTCCGGACCCACTGGCCCAGTCCTCGCACTGCAGCCGGCCGCCCGAGAGCGAAGCCGGTGACGGCGGTGATGTCAGCCCCTCTGACAATCGGCATTTCATAAGCACTTCCAAGGGCTGCCGAAGAACCAGGCAGCGTGCGGCGCCAGGCCCTCACGCCGGCCACGCGAGTCTGGGCCGAGTACCTACGCCCCGGACAGGTGAGAGGTGAAGTGACTGACCCAAGGTCACCTGGCCAGGAAGCGGCAGCGCCAGTGTGACCTCGAGCCCGTCAGGCGGGGGCCCACGACGGCGCGGCGGCTCAGGGGCTCCGAGGCGACTCAAGCCCGGACGCGCGCCTGAGGGTCTGGGCGGAGCGGCGGCACGAGAGCAGGGGCTTCCGGGCAGGGGCTTCCCGGGCTCCAGACAGAGAGGCCCCACACACGCACCCTCGCGGAGAAGCCCCGCGTCCCGCCGCCCAGGCCCACGTTCCACCGCGTCTCCTCCTCGCGCCGGGGGCCCGGCCACACTCACCGGACTTGGGAGGGTAGCGGTAGGCCGAGTTCGCCTGGATGTCGATGTCTTCCACGCCCGCGATGCGGCGGCTCAGAATGGAGCCCATGGTGTGCGCGTGGCCGGGGCTGGGACGGGGGCGGCGACGACTGGTCCTCACGCGGACATGGCCCGGAGCAGGCCGCACGGACGCTCGCCCACGGCCACCACGGATCCTCGATCTACGAGCCCCCACCCCCGGCTCGGCCAAGGGCCCGACGCCACGGTGGCCTCCGCCTCCCGGACCCAGGGTGTCTCGGGAAATGAAGTCCTGATGCCGCCGAGGGCGCGAGGCCGCGGCGCAGGGGGCCAGCCTGCATACTACATTTCCCAGGATGCTCCTCGCGCAGGCCTGCGAAGTTGTTGACAAGCCCTGAGGGACAAACCAAATGGACGTAAATCCAAAGGGGAAGCGCCATCAACCGGCCCCCAAATTGTCTTTCCCTCTGTATTCCAAATGCAGCACTAACATCTTAACTTTTTAGTCTCCTCTTAGTCTTTTCATATAGAGAGATTTCTAGGGACCCAGCGCCTCCATTTACTCATCTGAAACTTGTCCCCGAGCCACCGTGGTTCTCCCCAGTTCCCAGGGTCTATCTCCTGACCCGGCCAGCAGAGGGCACACCTTTACCTGCCACTCAAAAATCGTTTACCTGGAGGATGCTCGGAGAGGAAGTGAAGCGCCTACTTTGGCCTTAGCCAGAACTCAAAGCATCTCTCCAGTAACACATCCTGAACAATTACTTTGAAGCCATAATTTTATAGTCCCACAAAAGGCAGTAAACCTCTCCCCGTTTTACAGTGTTCTGGTTCCCTAGTGCCACCCTGACAAGAATATACCACAAATGGGATGGCCTTAACAAACAGGAGTTTATTCTTACAATTTGGAGGCTTTAAGTCCCAGTTCAAAGTGCCAGGCTCTAGGGGCTGGGTGAAAGCCCCTCAACCTTGGGGTCCAGCTCTGCCTCCTGCTCGCAGCCCACTGGAGCCAGAGTCATTTCTTCACTCAGACAGCTGCTGGCTGCTGAGGCTGAGAAGCCCCAAGGTTGACAAGTAAAAGGGCACAGTTCCGATGTTACCAAACCACACGGCAGGCCATTAACTTAAGTCCATTTAAGTCCCAAGGTCGGCAGAGCATAGCAGGCTGCTGAGCAATGACATGGTTACATGCAGAGTCCAAGCGTGCCATAGACTAGAAACCTTCTCCTTATATACAGGAAGCAAACCACATCCCAAAGACAGTACTCAACTGCTTGTGGTAGATCCCACCATGTAGCTGATTGCCATCTCATCATGGGGAATAATTACCACCAGCCGCCCAGCCACTCAACCAGGCCCAGCCAAGTTGACACACAAACATAACCACCACATACTGATATGGAAAATGTGGCAAAGGGGAGGGAGGGCTGCCTGGCAGATGCTGGAATCAGGTCAGGACATAAACCTCACAGTTCGCAAGGTACTTTCTTGGCTTTGATCGACACACAACTCTAAAGGTAGGCCATACTGGGGTGTGTTTTTTACCTACTTTACAGGTGATGAACTGGGGTTTGGAAGGAAAAGTCACTTCTCAATGCTGTACCAAGAAAGCAGCTGGAGGTGGGGTGCAGGTGGTGAAATCACCTCCAAACCAAACCAAACCCATTGCCATTGGGTCGCGTCAGAAACATATCGACCCCATCCAATGGAGTAGAACCACCCCATCAGGTTTCCGAGGCTGTCACCTTTATGGAAGCAGACTGCCACAGCTCTCTCCCAGGGAGCAGCTCATGGGCTCGAACCACCAACCTTTCAGTTGGCAGCTGAGCGCTTTAATCACTGCACCACCAGGGCTCCTTGAATTCACCATAGTCCTCATTAAAATGAGCTGCACACCTTCCCAGGGGCCCTCATCCAGAACACAGACTTCTTGCTGTCCAGGGACCAGGGAAGCCAAGGGAAGGGTAAAGGAGTTAGGGCACTTGTGCAAATATGACGGAGAGTCCAGGTTTCAAGGGAGCCTGAGTCAACTCCCTGCCCACAGCCAAGATCTCCATTTACTGACCACCTGCCACGTGCTAGGCATCGTGCTGAGGGCTTCACATACATTCTCTCCCTTAATTCTCTGAAGAAGGAGCCCTGGTGGGCAACAGTTTAGCACCTGGCTGGAATCCAAAGGGTAGGTGTCACAGGAGAAAGACCTGGTATCTGCTCCTATCGAGACTGAACAACCAAACCCACTGCCATCGAGTCGATTCCGAATCATAGCGACCCCCACTGGGTTTCCGAGGTGGAAAATCTTTACCGAAGCAGATTGCCCAGTCTTGCTTTCGCAGAGTGGCTGGTGGGTTTGAACCACCAACCTCTGGTTAGCAGTCAGATGCCTTAGGCACTGTGCTACCAGAGCTCCTTCTTGTAAAGATTTGTTGTTGTTGTTGTTA